TCGACCGATATGGATTTTTTGGCCGATACCGATTATCGGCCGATACCGATATATGCGATATCTATATCGGCCGATACCGATATATCGGCTTATTTTTTAATTATTATTTATTTTTGATTTTTTCGTAAAATACTTTGCAAAAAAATTAATGACTGAATGTGCCCTAGAAAATTTCGGTAGGCGTGGACACCTCCGAATTGACCAATAAGGACCGTGCGCTGTCCACCATGTGATTATCGCGTGGTAACGGGCCATGCGCTTGTCAAACGGCTGTTTTGTTTGTTGTTCTCATAGACAAAGTTCTTTGTTTTTTGATACGTGAATTAAATTGAATGTCATGTCCAAAATAAAAGCACTACTTTTGATGAAATACAAGTACAACTAAACATGGGACCAAAAAAAAATGATTCAAGCTGTCAGCACTCGTTGGAACTCCGAGTATTATATGTTGGAGCGCCTCTTGGAATTGAAAAAAGCTATCAATCTCTTCATTGTGAACAATCCAAATTTGACTGATTTGAACTATCATGAGTGGGAACTGGTACAGAGCCTCATAAATCTATTGAAGCCCTTTGAAGAGATCACAAAAATCGTCAGTCACTCAAACTGTTGCATATCGGAAGTTATCCCACTCGTTTCAACACTTGAAGCTTATTTGGACAGTGAAGGAAGCAATTTCGCTGGCGTCGGAACAATGAAGGACGAATTAAAAAATAATTTGAAGCTTCGTTTCAAAGATGCAACTTCAAAAAATTATCTGTTGTTTGCCACGTTCCAGGACCCGCGCTTTAAAGAACATTTTTTTACACCTAACAAATGCAAAATTGTTATTGCGGACCTTAAAAGAGAATACGAAATTATCCAAAAACACGACGTCGAAGTGGTTGGGAGTGACAAAAATGACAGTAGTAATGAAGATGTATCATTGGCAACTTTGATTTCATCATCTGCTAGTGCAACACCACCACCATCTAAAAAAAAGTAAAGTAATGAAACCACCCGCGATTCCCACGAGCTATTTTGGTCAGTTTATAATGTATTGGCAAAAGGTCCCTCTTCTTTAGATTCAAGATTCAAGATTTATTCGTTATACAATATACAATAAAGTTTAAACACGTCAGAATAAATAAACATACAAATCAAAATAAATATACAAGATATTACAACAAACAGTTTTCAATAAAATTGTAGCACAGAAACTCATCCATAGAATAGAAAGCTTCTTGCAGTAAAAGTCTTTTAATAGTATTTTTGAAGTGATTCAAAGGTAGGATTTTGACTTCATTTGGTAGTTTGTTAAACAGCTTAATACCAGTAAATTCATAACTCTTTTGTGACCTTGTTAGTCTCACAGGGATCAGTATGTTTACGAAAATTGTTTTCGTTTTCTTTAACATAAAGAAGACATTCAAGAATATAAGCGCAAGGAAACGTAAGAATCCTGTGTCTGACAAAGCTTTTTTTGCAATTTGCTCTATAACTGAGATTATCAATTATTCTCAATGCACGTCTTTGCAGACCAAAAATTCTATCCCACATTGCACCCTGACCCCACGCCAATAGACAGTATGAAATTTTGGAGTGAAATAGGGCGTGATATAATATAACCAGTGTAGCATTGAGTAAAGACTTCTTTACTCAATGAGTGTAGACTGAGACACATCATTACTGAGCTGAACCTACAAAGATCGAGGAAGAAATAAAGGGCTACAGCCTGTAGCCTACAGGTCGTGCTTGGTGGTCGAAAAAACTGAAAATCCTTTTAGTTGGTGGAATAATAAGAAAGACCTGTTCCCGGCCTTGTATTTGCTGGTCAAGATTTATATTTCTGTGCCTGCTGGGAGTGTTGCTAGTGAGCAGCTTTTTTCGCAAGCCGGTAATATTTACCAATCGGCGAGGAATCGGCTAACACCCGACAGGGCAGAAAGCCTTATTTTTCTTCATTACAATTTAGAAAAACTTAATTTTAAGTATTAATAATTAATAATTAATTCAATAATTTTAAAACTGCTTTAGAATATTTTTTGTTTTGTTTTTTTTTTAATTAAGAATTTTATATGTTTATTTATTTTTTGTTTTGTTATAAATAAAAGATAATACGTTTATATGATTTTTGATTTTTAATTTTGAATATAATTTTTAAGTGTTTTTAAGAAGCGTTTTTAAATTTAAATATCGGCCGACATATCGGCCAAATATAGACCGATAGGCCGATATACCGATATACCAAAAATAGGCCGATATACCGATATACCGATATAGTATATCGGTATCGGTCGATCCCTAATTAAAACCCCTGTCTATTATTATTGTATACCTATATTTTTAAAAATACATATATGTATACAAACTACCTATCGTTAATCCCTATTTTTACTAATAACACTTTACCTACCTACCTAAATATTTTAACTAATAATAAATTATATTATTAGGAAAGAAAAAAATTCTATATGACATTTTTAAATACACAATTTACACACACTATAACGCGCTTCATAGTTACCGTTAGTTTGTTGTCAAGTTGTGTTAGAATGTAGTTCATTAAGTTGCTTATTGCTCTTGTTGTTCCTTTATGTGTTTGAAATCCATGTTGGCTAGCTGTTAGAATATCTGTATTATGTATGTGTTCTGATAACCTTTTATGTAGTACTTTTTCAAAAATCTTGCTGAATTCTGTTAGATTTAGTCTATAATTTCCAGGTTCAGTTTTGTCTGCTGACTTGTATATCGGTGTGATTCTTGCTATTTTGAGTTCATCTGGAAACGCCCCTTTATTCATTTGCGTATTTATTAGTTGGAGTAATACTGGGGCAATGACATGTTTAAGTTTTTTAATTAAGTTAGGTTTTATCTTGTCATGGCCAGACGAAGCATTTGATTTCAGGTTGTCTATTATTCCAATTATTTCTTTTAGGTGTGTTGCATTGCTAGGTTTGTCCCTACATTGGCATGGTAATTATTTAATATATTGGCTATAGCCTTTGGTTCAGTTGTGGTAATGTTGTTGGTTTTTATTTTTTTGATTTTAGGTTTTGTCCTGGTTTCTTAATTTTTTAATCCTTTTATTATTCTCCATAGTTTCTTGGCATCTCCGTCTGCTGTATTTATTTGTTCCTTATAGTACATTAACTTAGCTTTTTTTATTGTTTTTTACATTCATTTTTAAGTTCAAGAAAGTTTTGTTTAAAAGTTTCACTTCTAGGGTATTTTTTCATTTTTTTGTAGGCTTTATTTCGTGTTCTGACAGTATTGTAAACTGATAGAGTCATCCATCCTTCTTTGTTTGACAAGGTATATTTTTTTGTACATTTGGAGAGTTCACTTTTTATCAAGTCTTGTAACATTTTAAAATTGTTAATATTAATTTCAGACATGCGTTGTTTTAGATTTATTTCCAGATGGTCATAGTTTATTTTTGTTATTTTGTATGTACGGTTTTTTGGTGGAGTTTGTTTTCCTGGATTGACTTTAAAATTAATCAATTTGTGATCACTTAAGTGTGTGTCTATTAGCTCTACATTTGTTACTATTTTCTTCTCCAAATTTGTTACCACATGATCAATAATGGAATCCTCCCCTCTACAGTTTATTCTTGTGCAGCCTGCTGCTTTATTTATTACTCTAAGGTTGCCACTCTTTAATAAATTTGAGTATTCTTTGGTAAGTGAATTGGAGCTCTTTAATAGATTTATGTTTAGATCGCCAACCATAATTATATTTTTTGTTTGAAGTATAAATTCTTCGAGAAATTCTTTAATTTCATTTAGGTTTGTGTTTGGTTGTCTATATATTGCACATATTTTTAAGTTTAGATCATTTAATTTTATTAGTACCACGTTATGTTTGTTTAATAGGTTTAATTCTTTGATTGTGTTAATTTAGGTTATTTTTTACATATATTGCTACTCCTCCTCCTTTGGTTTCTCTACATGAGTGTATACTATTGTATCCTTTTATTTGGAAGTACGTACTTTCATTATCTTTTAACCATGTTTCTACTAATATAATTATGTCAGGCCGTTTTTTTGCAGCTATAAGTTGTACCTCATCTAATTTGTTTTTGAGTCTGTTGATGTTTAGATATGTTATTTTTATGGGGTTATTTAGTTTTTTTGGTTTTGTTTTAGAATTTTATTTAGGGTCTCTTCAGAGTCGATTTCTATGATTTTACTTTCTTCATCTTTTCTCATCAATATCTTGTCATTTTTAAACCAAGCAAACTTAAAATTTATTTGTTTTTTACTTTCTCTCACTAGTTTAAACAAGATTTGATTTTCCATTGTCATATCATGATTTATGTATATGATATCCTCACCCTGTTGACCTAAGTCTTCACGTTTTAGATCTCTTTTTGTTTTGTATGCTACCATAAGTTTATCCTTTGCTTCAGTAGTTTTAAACTGTACTTTTACTATTGGTTTATTTGGATCTTTTCCCATCTTATTGACATATTCTATCTCTTCATCCTTGAGCATAACATTGATAACATTGCAAGATTTACCAATTTGAATAACTAATTTTTTGTATTCATTGTTTACTTCCTTCTCTAATCCCGTTATAACTACATTTTTGCACAATTTTTCTTGTTTTGACTTGTTTACTTCTTTGTAAAGGTAGGGTTTTGTTGATGCGACTCGCGGCTGCGGCTTGCGGCTGCGATCGTAGCCGCGCCACTGCTTAGTACAATTTGTGTGTATACGTTTTGGTTGGCGCGTTCAGTCGCAGACAGAGACTGAACGCGCCAACCAAAACATATACACACAAATTGTACTAAACAGTGGCGCGGCTAAGGTCGCAGCCGCAAGCCGCAGCCGCGAGTCGCATCAACGAAACTGTACCTTTACTGAGTAAAGTTTGTTTCTCAATTTGTGATTGTTTTGTTTTCAGGTTTTTTACTTTCTTTTTCAGGTTAGAATTTTCTTTTATTAGTTCATCAATTCTTGTTAGCATTTTTTCGTATTTTGCTTCAATTCCCTCCAATTTCTTCATAACATCATTTATAGTGTACTTGCTATGCGTACTGAGGAATTTGTTTCTAATTCTGAGAGTTCATCCTCAGAGTCCTCTTCAGAGTCAGAATCTTCGTCTTGCTCATTTTCCATGCATTTTGCACAAGTCCAATTTCTTGTAGCATCTGTGCACTGCTGATGCGCCCGTTTGCCGCATTGTTGGCATTGTAGCTTAGTTTTTGATTTGCCCAGTGCTTTATTGCATATAAGACACTCAAGCGGTTTCTTTTTTGCTGTTTTCCCTTTTGCCATTTTTCTTATAGATTTAACTAAATCACATCCAAATTACTTAGTTATTAGTATTTTAGTAGTTTAGGTGTTTTATTTTAATGGTTATTTCACTTTTAAAATAGATAATTTTACAGAGTAGAACTTTTGAGGTTACTAGTTTTCAAGTTACAGCCATTCAAACTTGAATAATTTTAAAGAAAAAATAATTTGTATTGATTTTAATTTAAAATCAAAATTTTTAAACTTTGTCAACTTTAAGGTTCTATAACTTTTTTATTACAGTGGACTGGAATCGCCGAAAAGTGGCCAAAAATACAATTTAGGTCTTTTTGCAATTGAGTAAATATAAATTTATATTCCTATAGAAAAAACATTGAATTTTTACGTGGTATTTGTAAAATTTAAAAATATTCACTAATAAAAAAGTTATAGAACCTCACCTCACTGAGACGTCAGTATCCATTTTGTGGGTGAAAAAGGGGGGGGGGTAAATTTAAATTTAATTCTATTTCGCGCTTGGAAAAAATCATGCAATGTTCTTTCAAATAACAAATTTGTAGCCCTCAAAAAGCCCCGTGGATTGGGTATCTGATTAGCCCCCTAGAAAAATGGTAACACCCCCAAAAAATAATGAAATTAAAAAAAAAGTCAAAACCCGGGCAAGGTTTGATTATACGAAATGTGCGCATCATTATTCTCTATATTTTGCTTAATATGGAGAAACCCCAAATTATGCATTTTCCCACCCTTATGGGGGTTAAAAATTCAGGATCGAATTTCGGGAAACCCATTGACCGCACGATATAGCCCTCATGGAACAATATGTAGCTGACCCTCTCACGGCGCCGGTGTCGCCTGTCATTTTGGGGGTGAAAAAAGTAGAAAATTAATTTTTCTCACTCGATGCACATGAAAAGTTTAAGATCTTAAAAATACGCGTCGAGTATACGGTCAACCCCATCACACAATATTTCCACCCCTATAAAAAGTATTGAAAAAGTTTGTTTGTGAAAAAATGTAAAAAAAACATTCGGTTATAGTTTAAATGTACAAAATGTGGGGTCATCATTTCCTACAATTTGATTCATATGAACCACCCTTTTTATTAAAAACATTATTTTGCGATATAAGAACAATATTGTCAATAAAAAATGCATTAAACATAATTTATTTGTCACACCCTCAGCTACAATTCACCCGATTGCCGCGAGTTCGTCAGACTTAGGGGTGGAAAATGTTCATTATTATTTTAAAATTGTTGCTGAGACTAAAACGATTTGACAATTTGACTTAATTTGATAAATAAAGTTTTATTCGCAAACTTGTATTTAGTACCTGCTTTCAGTAGCAGATCCAGGATTTTGGTTTGGGAGGGACTTAACCCAGCTGAGGGTAAGCTTTAACAAGGTAAACACTAAAAAAGCACACAAAACATGCGCAGAGGTCAGATTTGGGGGGGAGTTGAGTCCCTTAGCCCCCCTGGATCAGCTACTGCCTGCACCACCTGATATGGAGATTTTCCTATAGGAAATATACTTGTAATTTTTTCATGATTCGGTATGCATTCTTTATAAAGTTTGACCTTACTATAACAAGTTTTGTGGAAAAATTGATTTAGTTATGTAACAAAACGCGTTTTATCTTCAGAATATATCAAAAACCTGAGAACACAATCGAAAAATGTTGTAGAATCTGTTCTTATTTAATTCTTTTAAAACTTCTTCATAAATTGTTATTGTAGGTTTACTCATTTTCTCAAAAACGTTGGTTACACTGCGATCCATGCGAAAACATCTGCGATAAACCTTTGATATACGAAGCGGGATGGAACAAAAACTTAAGTTACGTCCTCGCTTTTTCCGCTGAAGAAGTTCAAGATGTGACGTGGAGATACTCCGGTAGCCACGATGAAGTGCGCAAAAGGCGCAAAAAAGTTCCCGAGAGCGAATTGATCGAGGCCATGTTGAAATTACGCGACAATCGACAAAAAAACTTATCGAAATCGAAGAAAGAGTATTTGACTAGGCGAACGCTCTTTGAACTGGCCGAACTGCTAGTGGAAAGGAAGGTAAGTTAATTTTTACTATTATTTCAGGAAATAGAGCCTAAATCAGTTTGGGTTACCTTGTATAATATTTTCTTTTGAAATCGTGTCTGTGCAAAACTTAATTTACCTTTTTACCACTAAAGGCGAGTGGTGAAGATGCACAAAGTCGAATTTCCGGTGCGATGGAATGGAAAATGTCCAGATGTGAAAATGTGGATTACGTGCCGTTAGTTTGGAAGATAAGGGACGTTCCGGAAAAATATGTTACTATCAGGTATTCCCCTGCAAACGATTCCTACGAGTATCTCTGTGATAATAAAGCTTTAAAAAAAACTGATAAGTGGACTTCAGGTATATATTTTATGAAGGATGTGTTTAGGAAAGAAGAGAAGGATTGGAAGCAGGTTTATCTTTGCAGAAAAGGTAGAAAAATCATTTCAATGTTTATAAAAAAATTATTTAAATTAAATTGATTGTATATTTTGAAGATGGAAGTGACACTGGAGTAATATCATGGAAATTTGAATTAACCAATAAAAAAATTATAGATAAAGTGGACTTGAACTTTGATTATTCAGTGTTTGAATCAGGAGAAGTAAAACTGCAAATAATCGCAGATAACATCCACATTGACATTCAAAAAGGTAGATAAACAATGTTTTGAAGATTGGGGAATCCCCTAACAGCTTTTGGAAATACTCCATATAAATAGACGCATAATAAGCTAAGATTTACACAAAAGTTTTTTCTTTTGTTAAAAATACAAAAAGTGGTTATATGTGGTTTTTCCAAAAGCCCTTGGGGGATTCCCCAATTTTCATACATTCAAGTTTTTTATTTCTTGGTATCAATTTAGGTAAGACAAATTTTGAGATACCAGAGTTGTCAGGACAAACATGTTTTACTATAACTGCCACAATGTCAGGAGGGAAAGGTGATCATAAATGGCAGCACGCTCAACTTTTTCGTCAGCCCATCGACAACGAAAATTATCCGTTTATAGTAAAAATATGCCTGAAAGACTCCTAAAATTTTAATTTTTATCCCATGTTTATGCAGTGATTACTTACCACCTATATAGATGGTACAATAATGTATTTTATATTTTAATATCAATAAATGAGTTTTTTTTATAAGAATGTGTCTCTTCTATAGATTATTATAATGATCCGAAATATTGGGTACATATCGCACATGGGCGACAACAGTAGTAAAACCTTAATTCCGAGATAATGACCGTCAAAGATTTTTGAATAATAAAATTCTGACATATTTGTAAAATTATATTAACTTACAGTATTTTCTTTGCAAAGGAAGAACCACCCTAAGATTCTGACCCAGTTAAAAATTAGATTTTAGAAAATAATCTTCTTGGATAAGAGCTATTTGTTGATATGTCTGTGTTGCCGATAGCGGTGGTAGCCATATGGAAGTACGAACGTGACCCTAGACACATGATCATTTGCCTTTAGGTGAGGAGCGTCACTTATTAATTTTTTTATTGTTGTTAACTTTAACTTTACTAACCCACGCTAACAAAATTACTGTCACAACTTACAGGCCTTATGACACTGTTGATGAAAATTATGATAGGGATTATAAAAATTCCAGACAGACACAAGTCTGCATATAGGGATTAATTTCAAAAATATATTTTTGCCACTTTTGCAGCATAAATTAAAAGTAATTTTACACTTATTGCACTAAAAACCTCAAAATTCCGTTTTTTGACTTATGACACTGTTTTCGCCCATGTGCGATATAAAAGGAATATTTAATAAGGAATAGGTAGTCATGGTCAAATTTATTTTTTGACAACATATAAATAAATAATAACAACACTTTTAAAAACGCTATAACATAAAAACTACTCATTGTTTTTTATACAGGGTGTCCCAAAAATGGTGCGCTAACGGTATGCCCCGCTGTAAGTGATATTTTAATTAATCTTAAATTACAAATTACAATTTTTTCCGACAAGTAGTTTTTGAGTAATAAAATAACTCAACGTTTTGTTTTTCTAAGCCTTTATATCACGCATCTAAAAACGGATGTTATAAAAATAAAATAATAATATAAGCAACGCATCTGCTGCAATCTAAAATAAGCATGGTTAATAGATGTATTTTCTTACAGTTTTTGTCAAAAAATATAAAATCTATATCCTCATTGTTATTATTATCAAATTTTAAGTTTTTTTAAGGGCCTGGACCCGTTGAATATGGTAAGGATATAACAAATAATCATGAAGAATTCTCCACACTAGAACATGAGTAATATTTAAAATATTCCCAATTTTTCTAGTACTTATTTCAGGGTTTTGATCCACTAAATGTAAAACAGTTTCGTCGGTTTTCGTGCAGTATGGTGTGCCCCTTTCAGGTAGTTTTTTGTTTTAAAAGATTCCGCTTCACATAAATTTCTGTGAGTTCCTTCCATATCAGCAAACTCAGCATTTATAAAATTTACCATTGTACTTATACGTATAAAAGGTGTTACGTTTTTAAATTTTAAGTAAAAAGCCTCCTTTTCAGAAATTATAGGCACATGGCAATATGCGCATTAAATGCTTTTTATTTTTTTCATCGAAAACCGTTAGTCGTACGAAAAATGGTCAAGAAATCAAATTTGCCCTAAAATGAATGGGGATTTTTATTTTGAAAAATAGCAGTGGCGTGCATAATATTTTTCCAAAAATACCTAGACCACATCCTGTACGAAAAAAATAAAAAATCTTCTACATCAAAAACTTACTGTTAATGCTTAGAAGGCGTGTGCCAAATTTTATAAAAATATCTATGATAAAAAAACGATTTTTTTCTTAAAACTTTAACACCCTGTAACTCAAAAATTAAGATGTTTGGTCATAGGTTATTTGAACTTTTTTTCTTAAAATCAACTAAGGATTCGAACCCTTAAGGTTCAGCATCTTATTCTGAAACACCCTGTATTTCCATATTTGTATTTTACAGATTTTAATCGGGAAAATAATAAGAATAGTTTATATAAACTTGTATGCTTTAAAACTTTGTTTTTGAGATAAAAGGTGTTAAAGTTAATAAAAAAGTATGAAGAAAAAAATGCAGGAAACAAATTTAAATTAATTATTTAATCTAAAAATAAAACTTATTTAAAAGCAGTGCATATCCAAATTTTATTTTTAAATATCTAGTTGGAATGGCCCAGCGCCGCCTGTGGATTAACTAAATTTAATTACATTAAATTAAGCCCTTTATCCATTACTAAAAACCTAAAAAGTTTTATTAAACTCTGCTAAGGAGTTCTTGAAATTTAAAAAAATATATATTTTGTTAATAACTTTACCACCCTGTATCTCGAAAACAAAGATTTAAACATACAAGTTTATATAAACTTTTCTTTTTATTTTTGCGACTTCTATCAACTACTAATTTAAAATTTAAATTATCCCGATTGAAATCTGAGACACCTTGTATACTATAGTATACTATTATAGTATAATACTATAGTACACGTATACGTGTGCAAAGTTATCTGCTCACCTTTGCTAATGTCGGTTAATTTAGCAAATTGGTGGACATTTTTGTTCTTATTAAAATGGTAAAAACAGAAAAACAATTAAACATTGGGTTTCCGAAATGTTCACAAAAATAAGGACACCCTGTATATTTTTACATATTTTAAAATACAATTTTTTTGAATAAAAAATCGTTGTTGCATAATTATGCAGACGTTTCAGGATCTTTCCTGAGGGAGTTAGGTTGCGAGTTTTTTAATTAAGGGTAGGTAGTTAACTACCTACCCTTAATTAAAAAACTCGCAACCTAACTCCCTCAGGAAAGATCCTGAAACGTCTAAAAATGCAAAATCATGTACACGTGGTAGAAGTGAAACTTCTTATAAACTAGGGAATTTGAGAAATTTTAGTTTATTACAAATAAGCCGCATTATTATAAAATAATAAAAAGTACTCTACCGTACTCATAATTGTTTATTGTTTATTTGATTTATTTTTGGTAGAAATAAACCATTTGGTAACAATTTTTATTTTTTTAAGTAATTTTGCGCTAGAATATCGTTTATTTCACAAAATAGTACATTTTTCAATAAACGCGACTTAAAAATAATAATATTTTCATTTTTTTGTGTAAATGTTTAAAACCAAACGGCAGCAAGTTTTGTCGAAATTGAAGCAATTGAAATTAATCAGATAACCTTGGACACGGTGTGTATAATACCTATTTGTTTAATGATAAACCTATTTGTTTAAAGATAATTTCTACATAAAACACGAATCCATACTCTTTCCGGGGAAACCCCGGTTTTCCTGCTAGTAAACGATTTATCTGGAAGCCAGTGGCGCATCACGTAAATAATGCATAAAAACAACATAATGAATAATGATAGATATTAATAATTTGAGGCGCCGATGGTAGACATTATCATTTTCAAATGCGCAATAATTATCCCTATAAAAGGATAACTTATTTGTTACTTTAGATCATTCAATTTTGTATTGTGTTATTTAAACGTGAAGATGGATAAAGCAGGTCAAGATAATAAGTCTAAGCAACAAAACCCTAACAACCCAGCATACATGGCCGGATGTAAGTGAAAAAAAATTTTTTAGTGATTTTTTTTAATGTCTATTTAATTGTCTAAGTAAATAATAAAAATAAAAACTATAGTTTTAGTGATTTTTTTTAATGTCTATTTAATTGTCTAAGTAAATAATAAAAATAAAAACTATAGTTATTATTTTTTTTAGCAAATCCAACCCCTGGTTATGCAGGTGATAAGCCTGCTACTGACAACAGGGCAAACCAAATAAATCCAAATAATGAAAAAACCAAATCCAACAATTAACTTTGTAGTATTTATATTATATTATTTTGTAAGTATTAAACAAATTGTTTTGATAATTTCTTATTCTTATATTTCTCAATTATTTTACAGAACACATTAAAATGACCCCTGAATAGTGGTTTCCATCCATGGCATTTTTAGTGTATTTTTTTAAATAAATCATTATAAAATTAATATATTGTATTTAATAATATCAATCATATAATCCCATTAAATATTTCAGGGTAGATATACATATTTTATTTTAATGAAATAATTTGAGGATGATCTTTTAGGTATCATATATGAAAAACCGTTGCCGTTTTCATTTTTAGTTGCTTTATTTTTAATCGGCACCCTTTAGAAACCTGAAATCGTGTCATTTTCTTACTCTCCCAGCAAACCAAATCATGTCACAGTGATATAACATTTACATAAAAATTGTTCCTTACTATGCAACAGCTATGTCACCTATATGTAATGGCAATGCTCCTATGTCCGCCTCAAGACGCCTTCCTGGGTATGTAACTGTGATGTAACAGTGTTTTATCATAGTTATGTAACTGTAATGTTACAGCGCCATATCAGTTATGTAACAGTGATATAACATTTACATAAAAATTGTTCCTTAGTATGCAACAGCTATGTCACCTATATGTAATGGCGATGCTCCTATGTCCGCCTCAAGACCCCTTCCTGGGTATGTATCTGTGATGTAACAGTGTTTTATCATAGATATATAACAGCGCCATATCATAGTTATGTAAACGTGATAAAACAATTATATTCTATTTACATAAATGTTCCATTTACTTATTTATATATAATTTATGCAATATTTACATATTATTTATGAAATATTTATAAATATAATTTCATGTAATATATTATATTACTGGTATTAAAAATTGCTTAGCCCTAAGTTGGTATTATGGCAAATTTTTTGAAAAAAAATCAACAAAATTTTAAAATTGCCATAATACCAAATTAGAATTAAGAAATTGTTAATGCCAGTTAGATAATATATTAAATAAATTATAAATAAATATTACATAAATAATAAGTAAACATTACAAAAATAAATGATTCTGAAAGAGATTAAAAAAAAACAAATTGGTTTAAATGTTTATTAAAAATTATTTTAATTAAAAAAAAAACAAATCATTTCTTCTTTCTAACTTCTTAAAACAAACGAAAAGTTTTTCCAAACAAAAAAAAATCCCAAATACATTAATACTTCAAAGCTAAAAAATATATGGTAAAAAAGATAAAGCAATCCCATGAAT